GAAAAACTGATACTGTTGATGATATGAAGTAATTTGGAGCAGGGGTGGAAGCATTGTGGGAAGCCATTGGAGGGAGGGGAGGAACTGGGAATGGGGTAGACAATTGATAGAATGAAATGTTTTATATGTTGTATTCCTGAGAAAATAAAATTTGTTTACCAAAAAAAAAAAAAAAGAAGACCTAAACCTGCTGCAGCTTTGGAAAGGGGGAATGCAGAACAAAACTTCCATGTTGAAGGTTGAAGCACCCTAAATCTACCTCAATTTGAACCTACACCTACGCTCAGAGTCAGCGGCTTGCTAAACCCTTAAGCAATCACGGTAGGAAGTGAAGGTGATTTCCACAGACAATCTTTGCAGCCACCAAGAGACTTTGTGGCACTACAGGAGTCCTGAGATAATTCCAAATCAATGTCACAGCACCAGATACCAACTGACTACCTGTCCTTTGCAAACACTTGTAGCCAGGGCTTTTTTTTTTTTTTGAGAAAGAGATGTTGGAACTCACAAGAGGGAAATGAAGTTTTCAATGTGTGTATACTGAAAACTCGTGAATTTTTAAACATTTTCAAAAGAATTTTGTCAAAGAGGTTCTGGAACTGTTCTGGTGTGTTCCCACAAAAAAACCCTGGCTTGTAGCCAACTGATCCAACAGCACTGGCTCTGAAGATGCTGCCATTAGCTTTTTTAAGCAGATAGTCAAGAAAGCTCAAAGATTTCTGTTTGTGAAATCTATGCATTTATCTTTTAAATGAATGGATCAAGGTAGTTCAGAGTCCTGAGAGATTATTGGGGGGAAAGAGAAACATTGCTGTACCTTAGGTAAAGATAAAGGTTCCCTTGCTCGAAAGACAGTCGAATCCGACTCTAGGGTTGCAGTGCTCATCTCCGTTTCAAAGCCAAAGAGCCAGCGCTGTCCAAAGACGTTTCCGTGGTCATGTGGCCGACATGACTAAACACCAAGGCGCATGGAACGCTGTTACATTCCCACCGAAGTGGTACCTATTTATCTACTTGCAATTTCTTGATTTCGAACTGCTAGGTTGGCAGGAGCTGGAACTAGAGATGGGAGCTCACTCCGTCATGCGGCACCCGGGTCTTGAACTGCTGAACTACTGACCTTCCACAGCCTGCAGTTCAGCATCTTAACCACTTGAGCCACCGCAGCTCCTAAGCTGTATCTTATTGAAAGATAAAAGGTTAGATGAAAATGTGGCTGGAACCTTAAAACTACTTCTAATACTTTTTCTTTTGCTGTCAAGTCACAGCTGACTTATGGCAACCCCATGTGGGTTTTCAAGGCAAGAGACGTTCAGAGGTGGTTTGCCATTCATTGCCTGCCTCCACATCACAACCCTGGTATTCCTTGGAGGAATCCCATCCAAATACTAGCCAGGGTCTACCCTGCTTAGCTTCCTAGATCTGTTGTGATTAGGCTAGCCTGGGCTACCCAGGCCAGGGCACTACTACGGCAGAGCATACCCTGACATACAGCTCTCTCGTGCTATCTACATTAAGCACAATAATTTAATGCAGGGTCTCCATTGTGGGGAAGAAATCAAGAACCACTTTATCTGGCCCTTCTTTTCTATTTTGAGATGACTTACATAAAGCATTCTCTCTTGTTTACGGCACCAATTGGCTGAGCAGCTGAGATGGCATGGAATGTTTATGAATATTCTAAGTTCACAGGAAACCAAGTGGAATGTTTGCATCCCAGTTTGTGTGAGGGAAGGGGATGTTGGTAGCCAGTGGTCTGATAAACAGGAATTTCAGGACCAGAAGTTTGGGGGAAAGTAAGCAGGAAATGTTAACAAGAAGTGACTAATATAAGAATGGAAGAGCAAAGTTTGAGTCCAGTGGCACGTTTAAGCTCAACAAAGTTTTACCCTGGGTATAAGCTTTCATGTGCATGCATACTTCTTCAGAATGGAAGATGAGAAAATGTCATCATACTGATAGGAACTAGCCACCCATGTCTTTGACTGTAGGCTTTTAGAGAGCCCCTGTAATGTACTGCTTAAGAGTGTTTCCCTATATAAGAAGCTGGGAGACCAGGGTTCGAATCTCAACTCTGGCATGAGGCTTACTGGGCAGTGCTACCTTGCAGAGTTGTTGTGAGGATAAAAGGAGGAAGAGAGCACTGAGCATACCATAGGCATGGGAAGGTACATGTTTGGTTTTTTGTTTTGGTATTTGTTTGTATGCGCATGTATGCGCCTGGAAGTCATGGTGACCTCTGACGACTCCTACTGGGGCATGGAGGATGTTCAGAGAAGTGGCTTGAAAGCAGGGCCGGCTCACCCGCTAGGCGAACTAGGCGCCAAACCGGCTCCCCACGCCAAAGCCCCCCAGCCCCCGCCAAAAGCACTGTATCTCCCTGACTGCTGCCGCACTTGCCGGACGCGGTGAGAAAGAGGCGGTGGGGGTGGTCAGGGAGATGCAGGGCTTTTGGCGGGGCCGGGTGCAGTTTGGCACTAACCCTTTGGCACTGACTGGCTGGTTCTAGGGCGCCAAACTGCACCCGGCCCCACCCCCGAGCCGGGTTTCCGAGCAGTGCCTCCTTTAGTCCCTTCTTCCCCCCCCCCCGCGCCCTCCTCTGAAGAAAGTGCTGGGTTTTCTCCAGAATGCTGAGATGCTCCCCGCCTCCTGGCTCCATGGAGTCAGCCCGAGGTCTCCAAGTGGAGTCCGCTGCCCCTTCCCACCCAGCTACTTCCTCCGAAGACAGCCGGGCTCCTTTGGAAAGGCAGGCCCGTCCCCCCGCGCGCGGGGGGGGGGGAGGTGAAACGTTCTCCCACTCTCCGGGGTGGTGGCCTTGGACTCGTAGGGGCAAATTCCACCTCTCGCGCGAGAGGTCATTCTGGCTCCCCCCAGCTCTTGTTAGGGGCTCTTTAAAAAGTTATGGCCGCCGCCGCTGTTCTCGGCAGCAGCTGCGACGCCCACGGGGGCAGGGGTGTGTGAAACGTTCCCTTGCCTCCCTGAGCCCCGGGGTGGTGGCCTTGGAGTCGTAGGGGCAAATTCCACCTCTCACGCAAGAGGTCATTCTGGCTCCCCCAGCTGTCCTTAGGGGCTCTTTAAAAAGTTATGGCCCCCGCCGCTTGACGGGCAGTGGATTAGGATTGGAATGGGCTTCTTCTCCCGCAGCATCAGTAACCTGCAGAACTCACCATCACTGGATGCAGTGGTGGCCACTAGGTTAGGTTGGGTTTGAGACATTCAGCAAGCCCAACTGCGTGCACGCTCTCTCCGCATCAAAGCAAAGAATTGACACAGTTTCTGTGCACGGTTGCCAGCTCCAGGTTGGGAAATACCTGGAATTCAGGAGCATCCACCACCTCCCGAGGTAGTCTGATCCACTCTGTGTGTGTGTGTGGCGCGCTCAGCAGCTGGACTTCCTTCTCTCCAGGCCCTGCCAGAAGGTGGTCTCGCCTAGAGTACAAAAAACCCTGGAGCCGGCCCTGCTTGATAGCCTGCCTCTGGCCTCCTGGCCCTGGTATTCTATGGAGATCTCCCATCCAGATACTTGCCAGGGTCAGCCCTGCTTAGCAGCTCATCTATGCTTGGTATTTCAACACAATCCTTTTGCAAGAGAGAAATTATACTTTCTCCAGTTGCTTTCTCTTTTTGCATGGCCAACTGAAATGCATCCCACCCCCAAGAAGTGTTGGCAACAAAGATTTTAGGGTTATTCATCCCCCCCCCTTCTTTCCTCTTCCCAACGGCGTGTTCGGGCATCTCGGTTCCCACCACCGCTTTTCAAACCCTCCCTCTTACGCTACGGCCTCTCCCCTTAACAAGTTTCAAGATGGGGATTTCAAACAAAAAACAGCCTGAGGATTTCTCCCCTTTGCAGGGAAATTTTGGAGGGAGGGGGGACAAGGGGCTTGGTTTCTGGCGCAAAGTGACACTCAGCTTGGAGATGCAGAAACACAAAGCCGTCAAATAAATCATAATGCAACTGCAAGAGAGGAAGCGAAGAAACCCGATACCAGCGGCGAACTGGAGGGAAAGGACGCCGGCCGAGCGTTTGCAAGAGGGAAGAACCACAGAAAGCGAGGAAATCAGGAGCGCGGCAGAGAACGAGGATTCGCAGAGGGCGCCGAAAGGGCTCCAGCGCGATCTGGGAAGGAGGGCAGCCGCCTGCGATCCCCCCCC